AAGCAGACTGTGAAGAACTTCAAAAGGATCTCACAAAACTCAGTGATTGGGCAACATGGCAAGAGAATTTTAATGCTAATAAATGCAAAATAATGCACATTTGAAAAAATAACCCCAACTATACATACTAAATGATGGGGACTAATTTAGCTATAGCCCCTGAAGAGAGATCTTGGAGTCACTGTGGTTAGTTCTCTGAAAACATACACTAAGTGTGCAGCGGTAGTCAACAGAATGATAGGAATCATTTAAAAAGGGATAGTGAATATCTTATTGCCTCTGTATAAATCCACGGTACGCCCACATCTTTAATACTGCGTACAGATGTGGTCGCCTCATCTCAAAAAAGATATATTGGCATCAGAAAAGTTTCAGAAAAGGGCAACAAAAATGACTGGGGGTTTGGAAAGGGTGCCATACGAAGAGAGATTAAAAAGACTGGAACTTTTCAGCTTAGAAAAGAGGAGACTAAGGGGGGTTATGAGAAAAGTCTATAAAATCATGACAGGTATGGAGAAAGGCCAGGGCAGATGTACAGTGGGGGCCGAGCCACAATCCGAGCTCTACCCGCACTCATGAGAGCCCCGCTCGGCCACTCACCCTGCTTTGCCCCTTTGGGCTGCGACATGTCTGGGCCAAGCCACACAGCACTGACTCGCCTGGGATGAAGCCCCAGCAATGGGAGAGCTCTGGTCCCTGCCCCTGAGCCCAGTGGGCTGCTGCGACAGGTGCACAACGCTCAGCACCCAGCCTGAGGTCACTCCAGCTAAGCAGCAAGCCCAGCTACATCAGCACGGCTGCAGGAGCCTCCTCCCAGGTGTCCACGGTGCCCAGCCAGGCTCCCCAAGTAACCATCCCGGACTGAGGCGCTGCTCCCACCTGCCCCAGCCAGTGGCATTGGCCTGACTCACCACGGGAGACCCACCCACTGAGTGCTGCCAGCCCAGCCAGTGAAGGGGGCCTGCATTTCCCCGAGTCCAGCCTAGGAGCACTGAGCTTTGCCTGCCTGGGCTTCGGTACTCGGCTCCTGTCCCAGCGTCGGGCAGCCCCAGCCCCTTCCCTGCCTGCCAGGCATGAGCGGGGCTCATGGAGGAGCAGGGCCAGATAACGGAGCCGCAGCAGAGCTATCCCCCAAAGCAGCTGCCTCATCCCGGATCCATTGCAGGGGGAAAGGGTGGGTGGAATGCAACATCCCTAACCCAGAGCATAAAATATTTCCAAACACCTACCAACCAGAGGGACATTTGCCACCCGGGCTTCTGAGAAGACAGACATTGATAAGTTTTCTACTAGGATGCTGTTCGTGCATCTTGCTGAGGGGGTCACTTTTAACACCAGCACGCTAGAAACAGTCAATGGCAAAAAGAGCCTGCACGCATAAAGGCTAGAAAGAGTCACCACTGCATAAAATACAAGAGTTGAGAACCTAATTTATAAAGACATTAGATGCCTAAAACTGCAGGAAGGCAAATAAGGCAAAAGTACCTAAGCAGGATAGGCACTTGACTCACTCCATATTTAGGCACCTGAACAACTTTTAAAATCTAACCCTCAATCACTACTGACAAACAACATTATACCAAACATAATACTGATCACTGACTTGAACAGTCCCAAAACATCCTACTTACCCTCTTCTGAGTACAGTGATAATATAACTATGCATAAAATGCCAGCTCAAGAATTTGAGTGCCTGCAGTTTAAGAAACACCTGTGGTGTCAAGTGCCATTTTTTTGTGTTAAGTACTCACTCTAGTATGTGGGTTCATAACATGGTCAACTCACGCCCCCCCACCCCTCCACCATAGTAGGGAATGATGAGGTATATTGAATTCTCCTCACTTCATAGTCTTGAAAGTTTATCTCACACCCCAAACATGCTCCCAAGTCAAAATAGACTTGTGGGCCTACGACTCCCCTCTTGTGGGCAACAGGGGTGGGATCACTTAACGATTCCCTGTTCCGTTCATTTCCTCTGGGTCCACCTAGCATTGGCCACTGTCTGAATACAGCATACTGGGCTAGGTCGGGGGGGAGGTTTGGTCTGGAGATGGGGGAGCCCCTTTGCCCCCCCTTCCCACTAGGCACCCATGCCCTGGAAGAAGTTTGGCACACTGGGGGAGCGGGGGTGGGGGAGCGTGGGAAGCCTCCTCCTGCCCTGCGAGGAGCACGTGGCGCTTTGAAGTGCTGCAGGCTCCTCGCAGTGCTGGGGCAGGGAGAAAGAAGCTTCATGCAGCTCCCCTGCCCCCAGCCCAATTGGCCTGGAGAGCCTGCAAAGCCTCCTCCGCTCTCTCCCCACGACCACCACCACCCTGCGAGCAGCGCTTCAAAGTGCCACGTGCTTCTTACAAGGAGGGAGAAGGCTTCATGTGCTTCCCCACCCCCAGGACAATTAAGGCCTGCGGGCGGGGAGCGCACGAAGCTTTCTCCGCACTGCCCCAGCATTTGAAGCGCCATGCACTACTCGCAGGGCTGGAGTAGAGCGGAGAAGGCTTCGGGTACTCCACTGCCCCTAACTGGCCTGGGGGCAGGGGAGCAGCAGGGCCTCGGCGGGCTGGATTCGGCCCATGGAAGCCCTTTTGCCCACCCCGGGCTAGATGGACCTTTGGTTTCAGTATGGCTGTTCTTATGTTCTCTATTCTCCTGTCACCCCACCTCCAAAAAATGATGCTCATGGGCATGCAGGAGCAACCTTTGTTAGAGTAAGATATAATACAGGCAGTCCCCGGGTTACGTACAAGATAGGGACTGTAGGTTTGTTCTTAAGTTGAATCTGTATGTAAGTCGGAACTGGCGTCCAGATTCAGACACTGCTGAAACTGACCGCCAGTTCTGACTTACATACAGAATCAACTTAAGAACCCCAGGCGTCCCCAAGTCAGCTGCTGCTGAAACTGATCAGCAGCTGATTCCAGGAAGCCCGGGGCAGAGCAACTCTGCTGGCACCGGAGCAGCGAGAAAGCCCCGTTCGTAAGTGCGGATCCGACGTAAGTCGGATCCGCGTAAGTCGGGGACTGCCTGTATATGCAATAACATGTCACTTACTTTTGAGATATTTTCTGCAATCTGGTAGCTAAATATTTATTTAGTTTTAATTTATTTATTCTTCTTTGAAAACCATGTTCTTTCGAAATCAGTTCACCTTATCGATAATTTTAAGTTCTGCTAGTGATTAAATTTGTATCTAGTTAAAGGGATGGGGACCTATGGCCCAGCATGCGGCATGTCTTGATCCGGCCCACGAGGCTTGGGCTCTCTCTTCCCACAACAGAGCAAGCCAGAGCTGGCTTGTCCTGCTATGGAGTCCGGAATCCCAAGCGTAACAGGCTGGATCAATGCAAGTTACAGGCTGCATCGGGCCCACGGGCTCTGCCTAGCAGGGGAGAGGAAGTGGTTCTTCATTCTGATGTCATCCCCTACTCCCTCTGGCTGGGGAAATGGCAGCTCAGAGAAGCTCTGGTCATGTGCTCACATGCGGTTCTACCACAGGGGAATGGTCAGAGGCCATCTGGGGGACCACCAGCCATGCAACTCCTCCCCCAACACAGGGAAGGGTCAGGACCATTCCTGCGGTTCCCCGCGCCTCTGAGGCTTTGCTCTGGCAAAGCCTCAGAAGCGCGGGAACCCGCCCGGTGTCCCTGGTCTGCTGGAGACGGTCTCCAGCAGACCAGGGGCACCGGAGCAGCTTACCAATGGGGCTTTCTCTCCCCGACTTCCGGGGCGAGAAAGCCCCGTTCGTAAGTGCGGATCCGACATAAGTCGGATCCGCGTAAGTCAGGGACTGCTTGTAATGAACTAGAATTAGAATTCTCTTGAACAGGGGTGAGCAAAGGCAGCTTGTGGGTCAGACACGATTTGATAGGGTATGCTGTCGGCAGACCACCTTGATTTTTTTCCCTGAGCATCTGCAGGCACAGCCACTTGCAGCTCCCATTGGCCTTGGTTCGCTGTTCACAGCCAGTGGACGTTGCATGAAGCACTGTGTGCCGGGCCACCACTTCCTGCAGCCAATGGGAGCTATGAGCGGCTGTGCCTGCAGACGCTCAGGCAAACGAAGTGCCTGACAGCCAGAAGTTAACCCTGGTGAACTGCGTCCGGCCCATGGGTGGCTTATTGCCCGCTCTTGAAGAGCTAGTTGTATCCCATGACTCAAGTGTAGCTCCCAAAGAGTTTCACAAGTAGACATTTCTCTAGTCTACACAGACATTAGAAACACACCTGTACTCAACAGTTCCAAATCTCACATTGTCACTCCAAGGTCTTGATAGCCAAAATTTAGAGCAGTTTCTCCTCAAACTGGCAAAAGTCCAGTTCCTGTTCACATTTCTCTCTCTATAAAGTTCCAGTTCTTTTGCATTTTACAATTACTCAAGTTATCTATACAATATCTTCTTAAGATAAATAAGTGAATACTTCTTTATGGGGTCCATGGCACAAAACAATCAGGCACAAAATTTGCGTCCACCTCAAAAAAATGTAGTTTAAGTGATTTGTATATAGAATGGCCGTGCTAGGTCAGAACTAGAAGCCAATGTTCTGGGCTCCACTCTGCTACCTTAACCAGATTCACTAGTTTGTCTTCATTGACTCTGCTATAGCAAGATCTATTCCTGATTCTGCAAGAAACTTACCTTAGGGGTAATCTGACATTTTGACAGATTTTAGAAATAATAAAAATCCAGTTTAAAACAAGACATAGCTGGAGTATTACATAAAGGAGAAATGCCATCACTTTGATCCATAATTTTCTTTGGAAGCCACGTGACAATAAACTAGAAATCCTGTATATGACAGAAATCACTAGAAACCAGGGCATAATGTCAGGCATCCTGAACCCCTACTTCAAGCAACTAGGCCTACCACATGAGCCAGCAAACCGTTTGCAAAGGGGCTACCAAACGGGTGGGCAAACAACTGGCAGGGCAGCGCTGGGAATACGGTGCCTGCTCCTCTTTCCAGTTCTGGGGCCAAGCCGGGCCAGTGACTAGAGCAGCGCTTACCGAGAGGCTTGCCCAGCACAGCGCGTGGGTAGAGGCAGAACGGCTACGAGGGGGTCTAACG